CTCACCACCAAACGCTAATCATGGCCCCAGAACTGATCTGCGTTGGCGTCACTCCCAACAAGAGAGTGTGGTGTTTTTGAGCGTGTTGACCACTCCGCATTGCTCGGGAAGTGACATCACAAATAAGTTGCTTGCTGACCCAATTTTTAAATGGATATCAATGAACCATTGACACAATTCGTGGCGCAGCTGTGATTTTTGATTGCGTATTAAGTGTCCAGTGTAATGGAATGTAGTTAGATCTCTCCTACTGTATGACTTTAACAATGGCTATTAAAGATAGAAGATAAACATGTTTAAGGTGTCCAAACACCATCGTTTTTGTAGTATACACTGAGTGTAGTAGGGCCATCAAGTCACTAAATTAGTAGATTTTTAGTGGAACGAACAGGTTGTGAAACATATATTATGTATTGTTTATCACTGTTCATCGCATCACGCGGAAGTAGGTTCAGGCTAAGGAAAGGCGGACTGACACCAGCTGGAGAAACATTGAAAACCTGGGACCACTGGACAGCTGTTTCGTCCTAGTATTGGGACCCTTCAGCAGTGCGCGCCCACAACTCCGCCCGGCCGGATGTCGAACCCAGGACCTTCACGTTTCGTGGACAGCACACTACTATCGAGCCATTGGGTCGGAATCTAGTGGTCCATATTTCCTACTTGTGTCTCTCGACGATATAACATGACTTCCATCCAATGCCGTCGTTGAGTAACTGTCCTCGTTTTTGACCATCGGTCATGACTTCTCATTGGTGGCAAGATTGAAGTATGATATCAGGGGATGAAGTGGTTGACTAGTATGGCTATAGTTGAAAGTGACAGCCAAAATTCAAGTTCAGAGACCTCATTTGATGTGGCACAGAATCGATAAACGTTTGTTTACTGTTGTTGAAAATTCGCCTTATTTCATCAAGCAGTTTTGATAGTTGTTTTATTCACTTTGACATCTATTTGTTTGTGGTTACATACTGAATAGACAGTGCTTCACTTTTAGTTTTGCCGTCGGGTTGTATAACGTTTTCGTAAATTTAACTAGTTTACTAGTTACTAGCCGGTCCTAAGCCCGGGTAAAGAGGGAAGGTTGGGCATAGGGCTAGCAACCCTACCCCGTAAAACAAATCTAACCGCTAAAGAAACTTCAAAGCACAAACAAAATATAAAAAATGAAAACAAACTTATTCCCCGCTGGAATCGGAGAGGCGAAATGACGCCAGTTGGTGAAAGCCTTCGGGAAGCCAATTGGCCGATGTGTCTTCTCTCGATGAAAGCGAAAGTAAACGTGGGGACATGGAATGTCCGCACGATGTTTGAACCCAGTAAGGCAGCCCAGATTGCAAAGGAGATGAGAAGGTATAACATCGAAGTGCTTGGGATTTGCGAAAGCAGATGGAATGGGAGTGGACTCTCCAAACTGTCAACGGGAGAATCAATAATCTACTCCGGTCACCCAGACGCCAACCACGAGCACACTGAGGGAGTGGCTATCATGATGTCCTCAAGAGCATCGAAGGCTCTCATGCAGTGGGAACCAATCTCCTCCAGGATCATGACAGCAAGATTCAACTCAAAAGGAAGAAAGGTCACAATCATACAATGTTATGCACCTACAAATAATGCAGAGCAAGAGAAAAAGGAGGAATTCTACAGACAACTTCAGTCAACACTGGACAAGACGTCAGTTGGCGATATCAAAATTCTAATGGGCGACATGAATGCCAAACTGGGAGGGGACAACACGGGAAGAGAACTAACCATGGGTCGAGAGGCGCTAGGTGAAATGAATGAGAATGGAGAATTGTTTGCAGAATTCTGTGCATTCAACGATTTGGTGATTGGAGGCAGTGTGTTCAGGCACAAGGATATCCACAAAGCGACATGGATTTCACCAGATGGACACACTAAAAACCAAATCGACTTTATCTCAATCTCAAGAAAATGGAGACGCAGTCTACTTAACACAAGGTCAAGAAGAGGAGCAGATGTAGGTTCAGACCACTATCTAGTGCAAGGAACCTTCGAAATCAAGTTAAAAGCCTTCAAGGAAGCTGGTGATAGACCTCAATTCAAGTACAACACTCGGAAACTGAAGGATGAAACTACAAAGGAGATCTTCAAAGCAGCCATCAAGACAAAATGGGAGACGTCGAGGGACATCCCTGAAGAAACCTGTGTAGAAGAACACTGGAAGTCTTTGAAAGCTATGTGGAAAGAAACCTGCACAACAGTATTAGGAAGGAAGAAGAAAGAAGACAAGGAATGGATCTCGACGGATACCTGGAAGCTGATAGAGGAGAGGAGGATGGTGAAGCAGAAGATAAACCAGTGCAAGGATGCTCAACGACAAGAGGAACTGAGCACAATGTATAAAACACTGGATAAAGAAGTGAAGAAGAGTGCACGCAAAGACAAACGACACTTCTACGACACACTGGCAAGTGAAGCAGAACAGGCTGCAGGTAAGAGAGACCTGACGACATTGTATCAAATAACCAGGTTGCTATCAGGGAAGAGACCAACACAGATGAAACCAATAAAAGATGAAGAAGGAAATTTAATTACAAAAGAAGAGAAACAGAGGAAACGATGGGCCGACCACTTCAAGAAGCTCTTGAATCGACCACCACCTGCACTTCGTCCAGAAATACCACCTGCAGCCGCTGAATTACAAGTGAACATAAATCCCCCAACGAAAATGGAAGTCCTGAACGCCATAAAGCTACTGAAATGCGGGAAAGCAGCAGGACCAGATGGAATACCGCCAGAAGCACTGAGAACAGATGCAGAGACAACAGCGGACATGCTCACACCACTATTGCAGAAGGTGTGGAGGGAAGAGAAGGTACCTGACGATTGGAAGAAGGGTTACCTTGTCAAACTGCCGAAGAAGGGAGACCTCAGTGCTTGCAAGAACTGGCGCGGAATCACTCTCCTATCCACCCCAAGTAAAATATTAAGCCGCATCATCCTGGAGAGGCTTAAAGACGCACTGGATTCAAAACTGCGACCGGAACAGGCAGGCTTCAGGAAGTACAAATCATGTGCTGACCAAATTGCAACGCTTCGTATCATCATAGAACAGAGCGTAGAATGGCAATCAGCTCTATACCTCAACTTCATCGACTTTGAGAAGGCCTTTGACAGCGTCGACCGAGAAGTAATTTGGAAACTGCTTCAATACTACGGAGTACCGCAAACCTTTATCCGCCTCATTCAACAACTATATGAAGATGCCACATGCCAAGTAATCCACAATGGGAAGCTCAGTGATGCCTTTGAAGTGAAGACAGGAGTGAAACAAGGTTGCCTACTATCCCCCATGATATTCCTAATTGTGGTGGACTGGATCATGCAGCAAACAGTAGGCAGCGAGAAGAGGGGGATACACTGGACGACGGAAAAGAACCTAGAAGACTTGGATTTCGCCGATGACTTATGCCTAATGTCACATAAACTTGAAGATCTGCAGGCAAAAACTAACAAGTTGACAGAGGAGGCAGCTAAGACGGGACTTCAGGTGAATATAGAGAAGACAGAAGTGATGAAGATACCGCACCACCACCATCAACAACAACAACAAACTCCAATCACCGTCAACGGGAGAAACTTGAAGGAAGTAACCTCCTTCACTTATCTAGGAAGCACTGTTTCAACTACAGGCGGGACGGACGAGGACGTCAAAGTCAGAATCGGAAAAGCAAGACAGGCGTTCATTAGCCTGAAACCAGTGTGGAGATCTTCTGCACTCAGCATGCGGAACAAGATACGGATTTTCAACACCAACGTCAAGTCAGTGCTCTTGTATGGCTCAGAGACTTGGCGCGTCACGAAAGGCATTTCCAATAAACTACAGACATTCATCAACAACTGCTTACGCTCGCTGCTGAAGATCAGATGGCCAGAAAAAATAAGCAACAAGGAACTCTGGGAACGAACCAACCAAGAACCTATCACGCAACAAATATGCAGGAAGAAGTGGAGATGGATTGGGCATACACTGAGAAGGCCGACTGAGGACATCACGCGTCAGGCCCTCGAGTGGAATCCCCATGGGAAGCGACGAGTTGGACGTCCGAGGGTGACATGGAGGAGGTCGTGCGAGGAGGAAATGAGAGCTTCTGGGCTGTCGTGGAACCAGGTTCAAAAGATCTCAGAGAACAGAGGTCACTGGAGGCGTGCTACTGAAGCCCTATGTTCCACTAGGAACCCAAGGGACTAATAATAATAATAAAAAAATATTTAACTCCTGTACTCTGTATAACTGGGGATTTCAACAGAATTTTCGGCGTATTTTCTCTGGAAATCCTATTAAAATCGACTTAATTTTTGTTATTTGGTACGAATTCAGTGAACTAACTATTTGCATCTCGAGTCATATATGCTTTCCGTCATAACAATGGGGTAGATGCATCCACACTTTCCAATCGTCGTAGGAAACTTCTATATTCCTAACCTCATCTTCTCTTCTGGTGACTTTCTGCAACTCTTAGGTACACAGTTTTTTTTTACCATATCCTTCGACTTGATGTATTGTGCTTTATTGAAACTTGGAACATTACAGAGTTATTCCTGGCTCATTGGGGGACTAACCCTGATTATCAATTTAAGGATGTACACTTCAAATATGCAGATGCAGTTAGACAATACACTATGTGTTTTTTTCTGGATTGTTATAAATTGTTGACTTTCGCTTTTTTATTTTATTTGATAACTTGATTTTCTGCGCCTTCGCTTTAGGTTCTTAGTTCAGTCCAAAGGATGTGCAGTCCATGCACTACATGAACTACATTTTCTGCTAGACAGCTTTGTTACTACATCAGTGTGCTTGCTTTTCTTGCACAGTGAAAATACAATTAGTGTCGATTTAATCATAGCAAATAATATATACTTATCATTTGATTTAAACTTGCCTATTTTGTTAGTAGTTAGTTAGTTTGTTGCTCACCATCTTTCGTATTAATGTATGCCAATATTTACTTTGGTAAATTGTTTGGTTATAGATTGCTCAAGTCCTAATAATAAGAATGCAGAATGGTTCTCCATTCCATACACCTTACGAAGACAACCTGCTGGACAAACTTCACGAAGTAATCCTAAATCACCTAATTCGTGTATTAGTTCACTGAAAAGAAAGCATGTTAAAAGGTGTAATGTTGCATCCCACTGTGAAAATAACAATACAGTGAATTCATCTCCTGTATGTATCAGTGTTACGAATTCACAACCTACGAAATCTTTACCAGTCACCAGGTCAACTGTTTTCTGTGTAGCCAAGAAACTGGCCTACATTCAACCATCACGAAGCACTTATCCTGCTTGCACACCCACTTCTTCCTCCTTGAAAATGGTAGTTAACGATGGTGATCAGCCTCCTGTTGAATATCATCCATCTACTGGTGACAACAAATCTTCCCAAACTACTGTTAAACCTCCAGTTGCATCACATCTGTCTAGTAGACAAAGGGTAAATTTACAACTTATCTTCAGGTTTTCTAATGAGATTCTTGTTATATCATTTTATTGACTGAACAAAATTGAATCCACATAAAAATACCTCGGTCATTTCATAATTCAGTTGTTAAGCACTAACCTTTTGTCACTATTTCGAAAATTCAACTTTTCTGCAGGTTGAACTAGTTCACTCGTCATCGATCGATGCTACCTTGACATAGTGGTGATGAAAATTTCGACAACACTAAGTGGTTGAATCTGCCAAACGCCAAACAGGTTATCTTTATTCGAGAAGAGACTTCGAGAGCCATCAGCTCACTCTAGCTAATGCAACTCCACAAATAGGTGAATTTGTCAACTCATTCCACCACTTCTCTCCTCATTTTTAGACTAAGAGTAGCTGCTGCAAATCAATCTTGAACCATCATCCTACATCAGACAGCTGTAAAACCTATATGAACAGAACACACTCAGATTTCTGCTCGAGGTCTCCAGAAGACTGCACTTTATCAAAACCTTCACCTAACAGGACTGCTATCTGCAGGTAGCTCTCATTCAGCTTGGTGGTATGTCGGGAGTAGGTTGGTCACTGAAAGGTTGGAGCGCGTCTATAAAGAAGTGAAACAGGAACGGTGAAAGTGGATATCAATTGTAAACACTATTGTTATCACCACTGTGTTTAAATGTAATTCGATTTTAGTTGATTTATGAGATGTATCACGCAGTGGAACAGTATTTTAATTTGAATTACTTTCCAGACACAATTTATAGTCTTTAGTCGTATTAAAAGAAACTCCACAACTTAATTATGGTGGAGTTGTCGTAATCTGTTTGTGATAATGCCACTTCCCAAGTAATGCGAAGTGGTCAACACGCTCAAAAACACCACACTCTCTTGTTGGACGTGACACCCACGCAGATCAGTTCTGGAGCTATAATTCGCGTTTGGTGGTGAGTACATCCTAAACATTCTAAAACTGCCACTCAAGATGTCCAGAAGACTATGCGTCTTATCAGCATCTTCGTCTAACAGGATAATGTCGTCTGCTTACTCTAGGTCTACTAGAGTTTCCTGTGTCAAGATGAACCTTCTTGAAGTCAGACGTAGGGAGTAAGACCTTCATAAGCGCTCCCATGATGGAATCAAATGAGATTGGATACAGTGGTCATGCTGCACAGACAACGCTTCACGTTCAGAAATCACCTGACACCTCACCGAAGGTTCTGAAAAACCCATGGTTTTCGAGTAAAACTATGTGCACAAGAATGAAGTTTTTTGAGTAATATTTTTATTTTCAACCGCTTGATGTTGGTTAAGGTAAACAAATAGGTCTTTTTATGTAGATTCGATAGATTTGACTGTGTTGTTCGTGGTTTCCATTTGTGTCTGAAGCATCTTTGTTTTCTGTTTTATTCATTAGATTGAGATAATTTTCATTCCTTTCCTTCATTTTGTTTTCATTATCCTTTCGATATTCTTTCAAGTCACTCTTGATTATTTCGGTTTATTTTTTTTTGTCTGCAGTTTTTTGCTCGTTTAATTTATTATTCCTGCAATGAGACACTATTTCATGGCTCGGACTACTAAACTGTTAGGGTTGACTTCATTTTCTTTCAATCTCGTTTTGTTGGTACTTCGACAAAATTATCTCATTCCAATTTGACAATCTACGAATGAATGAATTCATCGTTTAGCGTTTGAGGTTTATTTGACTTATTTCTCAGAATTTCAAGTTCTGCGATTTTGTCCACCTCTTTTGAAATGCAGTTCCTTCAATTTTCCCGTTCATTGTTATCATCTATGTGTTTTTGTTCAAAATTTTCATTTGTTTCGCAGAAAGTCTTTTTTGCTTGCTTAGAAGTAATTGATAGGAAGCCCTTGATGTAGGTTCTGATGGAAATTGCCATGTTTCATATCGTTCCCTTCCAGCCTCTCAACGTTGATCAGATGCGCACCACAGTGTAGCATGTCTCTTTGCTTCGATTGGTTTTGGTCAGCTCCTAGTGCTATACAATATAGAATGGGGGTGACTTAGCATTATATCCTATGTAGGGCTACAGAAAGATAATTATAGCTTGAACAACTTTGTCTTGAAGTCTGGTTTAGAGGCTCGAAACTGGTTTTAATCTCTTACAGAAAATCAGTCCC